TGTGTGTCTGTGTCTGTGTGTCTGTGTGTCTGTGTGTGTCTCTGTGTGTCTGTGTGTGTGTGTGTCTGTGTGTGTCTGTGTGTGTGTGTGCCCCAGCGCCGCTGCGCTCTCCCCGCGGAGTCCCGGGCCCTTCGGTGGCTTCGTGACGATCCCGGGCGGGGAAAGCGGGTCTCTTCCAGGTTCCTAGAAGTCATAAGGAGTTTCAGCATAGAAGGAGAGGTCCCTCATCCCGTTTCCACTCGAGGGGATCACAAAAAAAAAAAGCACGTTAAGGTGAAAGGTTTGAGATCTGCCCGGTGGCTCCATGAGCAGCCCGTGCTCAGCAGCCCGTGCTGCTGTAAAGGCCTTGTGCTTTCTCGCTGAAGCGGCTTTAATGGAATAAAAACACACAAAGGTCCGCAAGAACTTGATTTTCTCCTTCCCAAGTGAAAGTGTTTCGCTGGTTGTTACAAAATGCACTAAAACAGCACTCCAGAAGTTGTTGTTAAAAATAACTTGGTGGTGTTGAGGTGTTTAACTTCTAAGCACACGTGCTCCCTCGGTTTTTGTGCTCTGTGTAGCACTTGCTTGCTATTTGGATTTTAATAAGCCTTACATCTACTGTTAACCCCAGAGAAATGCATCGGGGAAGATGGTACTTTGGTGAGTGAGGTTCTGTCTTTAGGTTTAATACACAGGGAGAAGAAGATGAAATTCATATATACTAGGTTTGGCTGGCAAAGGCAGACACAAGGAACAGTCTGACTTGACATTTTCAGCTGAGCATTTCTATGATTCAGCAGTGCTGGAGTAAAGAAACAGAGATTTGGGGGGGGAGGTGCTACAGAAGAAAGGGACAGCATTGTGCATCTATGGTAACTGAAGCAAAGCTGGACGTACCACACGTCCCTGTAAAACAGTGCAATGAAAGTAGCTGGTCTCCCACAAGGATATGAATCCGAAGGGTGTTTGCAAGAGGTGCACGTGTTGATGTGACAAGCGCTGCGTCTCGGTCTGCTCCGCATCCAGGTGTCTGTGTTGTGGTACCATTCTAGGTGGTTATTGGTAGATTAAAATTTAAGGGAAAATGTGAGGAGAAGGTTTTAACTCCATACCATTGAAAAAACTGTGTTTTCTCAATTTATTTGTCTGTGCTAAGCTGCAGAATGACAAGATTTCTATTGCTTTCCAGCTATGAGAAACCTCCCCCTGGGCTAATTAAGGTTGGTAAAAATATTGCAGTAAATGTTTAGTATCATGAGGCATTTTCACACAACCTGTCTTTTAGCTGTTTATCTGAAGTGTCTATGTTACCTATATAAATTACAGAGAGAAGTGGTGGCTTCTGGGGGACAGCTCAGAGGTCCTCAGTTACAAGCCAGCCTCTTTGACTTGATGAATCCAGAGTGAAATACCCAGAATCAGACAGGATGACACCAGCTCTTTCATAACCTCTCAGCACATGCACTTAATGCAGTATTTAATAGTGTGGGTCGAGGGGAGTCATTTATGGTCAAGTAGATTTTCAGTTTGACATATTTTCAATATTATTCTCCAATACTGAAGTGTAAAAATAATGTCATAATGATCATTACTTTTGCCAAATTTATTTACCTAAGCCATAATGTAGTGCTTTTAATCTAAAATATACTTTTTGGTGTTTTAAAGGCTGTTTTGGTTAAGTTTCGTTAGCATAAAGCAGAAAAAGGAATCTCTGCTTGTCTGTTAGGTTTTAATTTATTTTATTTATAGAAATTAATTACTAGCATAAATGTGAAGGAATGGAATTAATATGGCAATGCTGCAGAATGACAAGATTTCTATTGCTTTCCAGCTATGAGAAACCTCCCCCTGGGCTAATTAAGGTTGGTAAAAATATTGCAGTAAATGTTTAGTATCATGAGGCATTTTCACACAACCTGTCTTTTAGCTGTTTATCTGAAGTGTCTATGTTACCTATATAAATTACAGAGAGAAGTGGTGGCTTCTGGGGGACAGCTCAGAGGTCCTCAGTTACAAGCCAGCCTCTTTGACTTGATGAATCCAGAGTGAAATACCCAGAATCAGACAGGATGACACCAGCTCTTTCATAACCTCTCAGCACATGCACTTAATGCAGTATTTAATAGTGTGAGTCGAGGGGAGTCATTTATGGTCAAGTAGATTTTCAGTTTGACATATTTTCAATATTATTCTCCAATACTGAAGTGTAAAAATAATGTCATAATGATCATTACTTTTGCCAAATTTATTTACCTAAGCCATAATGTAGTGCTTTTAATCTAAAATATACTTTTTGGTGTTTTAAAGGCTGTTTTGGTTAAGTTTCGTTAGCATAAAGCAGAAAAAGGAATCTCTGCTTGTCTGTTAGGTTTTAATTTATTTTATTTATAGAAATTAATTACTAGCATAAATGTGAAGGAATGGAATTAATATGGCAATAAAGTTCCAACTGGAAAAAAAAAAAAAAAAAAGTCATGCTGTTAAAAGGGTCAGGTATTTTAGATCCTTCCTGTGTTACATGAAAACTTACAGGGGAAATAGGTTGCATGTTAAGTGAAGGTCTGCCCACTGGCACTATTAATTTTTACAAAGTTAAAAAAAAAGAAAAGTGATTGTATTGTCCTTATCTTTTTCCATAGGAGAATGAAACCAAACCAGAAGACTGCATACCTGATGTACCAGGCAATGAAAGTGCACGAGAATTCCTGGCACATGCCCCAACCAAAGGGCTTTGGATGCCTTTGGGAAAAGAAGTCAAAGTCATGCAGTGTAAGGCTGAAAACATTCCAGATGTAGTTGGGAGCTATCCATTTGCTGTGGGGGAGGGCAGAGTGTCTGGTGGACAGGTGACAAGGTCCAGGTAGATTGGCATCAAATTGATATAAAAGCAGTCAATGCCTTGAAGGCTGTAATAGCCTTGCATTTTACAGGCATTACATTGATCAGCATAATACTTGTACCTCTCTTATTTGTTTCAACAAATGTAAAGCATTTTGCAGAAATATGTTTTCTGGTTTGTTTGTTCTTTTCTTCTTCTGGTCTGGCTTAAAGGTGCAATTCACTGCTTGCTTCTGTTTTTTTTAAAGGTTGGAGGTGTAAACGTTACGGACACAGAACAGGAGACAAAGAGTGCCCATTCTTTATTAAAGGCAATCAGAAATTGGAACAATTTAGAGTAGTGAGTACAAATACTGTAGTGCTAACACTTGTATTTTTTAATATTGATGATGGCTGAATCTTACAAGTGAAGAGAAGCCTATTAGATGATGCTTTATTAAGGACTTTTCCTCTGTCTCTAGTATAATATAGATGCCGAAAATCTCCTAATAAAGAAAAAGCTACAGATGTGGTTGGATGTTTGACTACTTTGCAGAAAACCTACTCTTCGACAGGAGAATTAATAATTTTTACATTAAAATTGGAAATCTTCAAGAACCTGTTTCAACCATTATATTCAGCTTTTGTGATTAAAATGTCAACGTAACAAAAAATGTTTAGTCAAGCTTGAGCTGCCCACATTACAGCTGCTTCAAGCCTTCCACTCTCAGTGAACAACCACATCATGAAGCCCGTTGTCTAGGTCTGTAGTCCAGTCATTGTCTACAAGTCTGATCTTGTGCTACATGAGGCCACATCTCTGTTCTGCAGATTCATTCTGCGTGACCTCTTTAACTTCTGTTGCTCTGCATTGTTAAACTACATTTCAAGTTCTCATCACTTTGTTTCTTAAGCCCTCATTTCTATCCTTGAAAAATGCAATCTGGCCTTACTCTGTCCAATCAGAATGTTGCTGTAAAAAGTACTTTCAGCCTGCTTTCATGACCAGATTGCCTCTACTTTTCATTTTTCCTCAGGCTTCTCTGTTGCCTCAAACTCTTGCTGTATGTCCAAGGCCCTTGATGGTGCATTTCCAGCATCTTTCAGTTGCTACTGACATTGTAATTCCCACCTCCAGTCACCATCTGATACCTCTTCTTGGTTGAACTTGTTTGCTCAAGTCTTCCAAAAGAAATGATCACCTGATCTTTTTGCTGCCTTCTCGCATGGCACAAATTCCCCTTAAATATACATAAAACTGATGTGCTATTTGCTTTCTCAACAATCTGCAATGCCTGTTGAATTAAAAAATAACTAATTTAAGAACCAGTAATAGTAGTGCATAGCATATTAGGACAACTCCAACTTCAGTATCAGTTTGTCTTATATTCCTTGCTCTTGTATTCCTCTGGTTTTGTATCCAAGTTTTTTTTAAATATGCTGTAAGGGCACTGCTAATTATTTTAAACTTAAATGTTCCTTCTATTTTGAACTTCTATGTTCCCTCTAGCTCTTCCTATAATATACGTATGGGGTGGTTCTCTTAGTTAACTATGATCAGAGAGGGAGAGAGGTAGTGTACCTAAGGAGAGTCCCCTTCACTGCTAATGTAGCTAGATAAGCTTTTCCTGAAGTAAAAAAACAGTTCAGATTAAGGATGTTAAGTGTGAGAGTGTACTTGTGGATTAAGAGCTCACTAAATGTATTTATCTTTTGGTAAACATTTCTTGTATTGGGCTGCTTTGGTTTATTTTTTTAAGAAATACAGCAGTCTGTGATGAATACTTTTCTTTATCAACACTGGATTTTATGTTTTCTGCTTCTAAAGGCACATGAGGATCCAATGTATGATATTATAAGGGAAAATAAACGTCATGAAAAAGAAATGAGGTAAGTGTGTTTCTGTGGTAAACTGCTTTTTCAGTTTGTTTTTCATTCTGCTAACATGATACTAATGTATAGGTGAAAATTTGATACAAGCTACTGGTACTGACTTAGAACATTTTTAATGGCAGTTTCTTTATGTTGGCAAACATTAATGTGTTTCTACTTTCTCAATAATCACCCTAGTGCTTCCTACTTTTCTTTCACTGACTTCACTGAGATGTTTTCTAAAATTTGGTACATCAGAGTGCCTTCAGTAGACTCAAGGAGTGGATTTAGAAAGCTAGTTCTAGGCACTGGATTTTGTTCTTTGTGTGAAGTTATTATTCAATATATAAAAGCAGCAGAGTTCTCTGATGTTTTCTTACTTGAACTGCATCAGTGAGATAACTGAACAAACTATAGGTGGCCCGTAGAGTAGTGCTGCAGGTATGTTAGCAAATCCTTGGAAAGGATACTGAAGAAAACAATAAAAAAAGGAAGTAGTTAGTCCCCCATTTACCAGTAATCCATGAAAGTTCAAAGGAAGAATGCCTGTCATAATATCTCTGCATCTAAAGTAGAGACTACTCTGTCAGCCTCACTGGCATCATCTCTGTATCAGCAGGACCATGAATGTCATAATATTGTAATTCCCATATGCATCTGTGTATGGATAAGCATTGAACTTCTTGTGGTGGTCTGGACATAGCTCTTGCCTTCTTATTTTGCACACATAAATATTGCCCAATAATCTGTCTTTGATATCCCACGGGATGGAAAGCCCCTAAGAACAGAGCATCTGCTCATCACCTCAAAAGAGGTATTTTGTTGGTTTGTGAAAACTCCTAAGTGTAATTCAGCAAGAGAGGGAGAGTTCCCCTGCCCTTTGTGTGCAGCTTCCATTTCTCAAACTAGAAAGGAAACAGATGAAAGCTAGAAAAAACTGTTACAGGTAGAGGAGAGCTAGAAAGAATTCTCATTTACATTTTTTAAACTTAGAATACAGCAACTGAAGCAGCTCCTGGAGGACTCTACCTCAGAAGATAACAGTGATGAGGATGATGAAGATAGCAGCAGCTCCACTTCCTCAGAATGTAGAGATAAACACAAGAAAAAAAAGAGGAAGAAGGAAAAGAAAAAAAAAGAAAAGAAAAAGAAGAAAAAAAGAAAGCGAAAATCATCTAAATCTAATGAGAAGTCAGAATCTGACTGACAGCAGTCATCTGCTGCATGCTGGTTGACCTCTACTTGTGAAACGCAAGGAAAGATCCACAGAATGAGGAAGAAGCCACCAGAAAGGGCTTTATTAAACTTAGAACATGCAGATGAGTACGTACAGCATCCTACACTGGCTGGCCTTTCCTGCCAGTCTGCAGTGCTGCAGCCAGAAAGGAGAGAGCTGCATTAAACAATACTCAATCAACCATATCTTTGTACTGTAAAACGTGCTAATGGTTATCCGTCCTGGTCAACCTGGGCCTCTGCATTGCCATGTGTGACTATCAGCAGAAAGTGGCAACTACCAAGCTATCACCAACAAATCTGCAGAATTCAGCAGATTGTCTATTGAAGTGTCTTTTCTCCATGAAGTTATTTTATTATATACAATGTCTCATTGTAAGGGGACTTCAGTTTGCACTGTGCAGAGCACTGACTGTTCACTTGCAGTGCTTATAATAAGCAGGTTGTACTGTTTTGTTTTTTTTTCTCTCTGCATACTGCCTATGTGCTGAAGTTCATTGTACTTACCCTAGTAATGACAACTAGGGAAATAAAGAGCACTGCTGAAGGGGGGAAAAAAGTTAATCAAGGTTTACTTCTAAGACAAAACTGTAGTGTCAGCAAGACTTGGTTTTTTTATGTGTAGCAAAATCTCAACATCATCACCATTATACAGTTTTGTAATACCTGAAGTTTTCTCCAAACCATAGGAGTGGGAGCCAAGTGTAATGATGTTAGATGTTCAACTCATTGTAAAGAGGTAGTGTTTTTACTTATTTAAAAGGGGAGGTATTCACATTAGAAATTAAAAAAGTGTAATTTCTACATACATTTCAATATCAGTTGTTTTAATACATTTGAGTATTCCTTTTAAAAAGGCTTGGGGAAGTAAACTTATTTCTTAGGTTCCCTAGAATTATTTAATGTAGTAATATCTTGTGAATCATCCCACAAGAACATAAATAAACAAGGCCTTCAAAATGGTTTTCATCTATATGCATGTAAGCCATAGAACAGTAGCAAAGAACTTGAAAGCAGGAAGAAGAGTAAATTGTGTACTTAATTAACCTTGTGAACTGACCACACTTTAATTTTAAAGAAGCTTGCAAGGCAGACTTGATTAGAAACATTAGGATAACAGCAGACTGCACTGGAACAAGCATATCTGTATGAAACATCAAGGTACAGTGATACAAAGCTCTGATTTGAGGAGCTAGATGATGTGTATTGGTACTCTACTAAAGGAGAAAGAAAGATAGATGTGCTTTGAAAGCACTGTGAAAGACACATAGAACTTAAGCTCTGTGCTTATGCTTATATTGAGAAAAAAGAAAGGCATGATAAATTTCTAGCATTAGTAGAGTGAGCATGAACAGCAAAAATCAAGGAACCATAGACTAAAATGCATTTAAGACTTCTCTCTTGAAAGCTGTAGAAAAGAAGATAGGGTAAAGTATACATTGTGTTTTCCCCTTCCTACATATCTAAGTCATTTAGTAAAAATAAACACCCATTCCTTGCCATTCATTCACAATATGTTCTGGGGAAAAAACAAAGCAGTGAAGGTCTGCTTACAATAAATTATCTTATTCTCAGAGCTTGAACATGGAATTGTTTTATCCTCCAGTATTAGTAAATGTCCTTGTGGTGGCATTTACTGGTGACTCCTGACAGTTCTGTGCATCACAACCATCAACAAATTCAAATCTCCTGGCTCTTTCATCAGAAAAAGATTTAACAGCTGAAATAGCATGAGGTCATTTGTGATGGTGTGGTTCTGTGCATTGCCACATTTGGTGCTGAGAACATCCTTGTGTTTATAGCATTGATGATTGTTAGGTAGATGCTGGCAGCTACAGCCAGTATTCACCCAATGCATTCCAAGAGAATTCTCACTCAAGTTTGTCTAGAGCAGAGCTAACCTAAAGATTTCTTCAGTTACTTAAGCTTTTGCTATAAGATTCTTCCAAAGAATCAATAAAAACAAACTCAGTTTTTTCTTAGTCTGTCATCCCATTCCTTGCTAATGGGTCATTCCCAGTTTCCCTACCAGGGTTTACTAGTTGAACAATCAAGAAAAATACTGCAAAAGACCATCCTCCAGCTTATATCAAATGCAGTTTAAAAGTTTGCTTTGAGATGCCAAGTCAGTGTTCTCTACCAGACTAAGGGTCTGTTTAACCCAGTACCTTTTCCTACTCATGGTCAGTAGTGGGTGCCTGCACAATAAAGCAGAGCAAACTCTAGTGGTATTATTTCCATTATTTCACCAGAATGTTGTCTCAGCCTGTACTGCTTGTAGTGCAGATGCTTTGGAATATAGGATATATTTTAGTATGTACTAGCCTGGGATGTAGGTTTTGGTGTGTGTTTTTTTTTTTTTTTCCAATCAGTCACTTCTTTTAAGCTTTGCAATCTCCTTCAGCAAGGAGCTCCAGGGATTAACAATTGCTGAAGAAACATGATTTGCTTTCAAACTGCTCCCTGCAAGTTTCATTTTATACACCCTAGTTGTCATAATGTAAGGCATATGAACAATTATTTCCTATTCATTTTCAGTGGATGATTACCAGTTTTATAGTTGTCTATCATATCCCATACATAAAGATTTTATTAGTTCTCCACTGGAATTCCTAGAAGTAGAGCCTGTTTTGAAGCTAAAAGCTAAAAGTTTCAATAGAGTAAGATTTTAAATAGTGCTGACTGGCAGCCAGTGCTAGAATGCTGAGAAGCACAATTCATTTCACCATTTGGCATTTTAAATAGTGCCAAATCTGGCATTTAAGAGACTAGGTAGCTTAGAAATATGTAGACAGGAGATAAATACTAATTGTATAGTCCTGTGAATCTGCCCAAGTGTGAAATGCAGCTCCAGCATGCCACATAGGCAATAGAGCTCTTCAGGTCTCAAGTCTGTTTATCTTGATACTCAGTCATTCTTCTCACATTACTTCAGAAAAAATACTGACCTCTGTCTTGCTTCTTTGGCCATGAAATCCGTTGGGGTTGATAGTCTTGTTAATTCAGATGGCCAGTGGCAGTGAGTCAGGGAATCTGGTGACTTTTTTAAACAATGCATTTGCTTTTCCTTGGTACAGTTAGCATGTAATGAGTGGGTTTTGCCACTGGCTCCTGTCTTCCACCGTTTGATTTTAATAGAAAAATTACTAATATTTTCCAAGATATGGCAGAAAACAGGACATTGTGAAAATCAGAGAATTAAAACCTGACAAGCCAACATAACCCACTAGCTCCAGCCATTACACCACACCCACTTTGCAACAGAGGTTTTAGTTAGCTGCAATGATTTAGAAATTCTGAGTCACAGACAGTGAATCTGTCCAGACGAAGCTCCCAGCTTGGCAGTCTCAGAGGCTTCTAAGGTTTGCTACTGGCATGCCAAGCAGCAAATAGATTCTTCAGCTGCCCTACAGTAGATGCTGCAGGAAGCATGTGCAAGCTTCCAAGGCAATGCAGTATTGCTACAGTTACAAGCTTGTAATACTGCCTGCACTGCAGTTACTCATCACTGCACAATCTATCTTCAGTGGTAACAAAAACTGACACGTATGTGCATCTGTAACAAATTAAAGCTCAAATACCACTGGGGCTAGTTACCTGGCTGAATAAAGAGAGCCCAGGCTTTAGTTCACAGCCTTAAAAAACATAATTTTTACTTCACAGCCTTTCTGAAGCATGGCCATTTTACCCACTGGAACATCAAATATAGTTGTAAGCCAGTTGATGTAGTCCACAAAACCTCCATGCTGCTAAGTGAAGAAAAAAACAAGCAGAAAATTTAGCTTTAAGGTCACCAGACTAAGTACTGTGGAACAGAATACACCATATATAGCATTATCTAAGAAGTGTCTCTGCAGCACTAGAACATGCCTTGGTGTGGATCCATAGCACTGGCACACTACAAAAAAAAATCATTTAATTTAACAAAGTTTTTCTTTTCAAAGAGCTGTCTAAACAGTCCTACTGCTACTCCCTTATATATTGGTGGAAGTTAGCATCATCAGGCCTTAAATTGCTTCTGCCATCTCTGTAGAAAGCACTGACCAGTGCAAGACCTATGAAAGGATAACTAGCATGATCTTGTGAGTACCTGTGAAATACTAACCATTGCTGAAAAGCAGAGTGCCATCTAACTATGATATAATTAATTACTTTATCAGATAAGCATCAAAAGACAAAATTAAGCAAGTTAGCAGAATTGGCTTCAATTCGATCCCAAAGGTCCACTCAATTTCAGGGAAAAAGTCTATCTTTATCTAAGAGGTCTCAGTGATAGCTGAGGATTACTCTTAGGTCATCACTTGTAGTCTTCAGGTGAAGAGACTCTACCACTCGTTCTTTCCATCAGAATAAAGTCTATCCTTTTCTATGTGCAGCAGATTCCTATATTAGATATTCAAGAGAGCAGTCCTTCATATTCCAGAGTATTAGAAAGCTCCATGCTCAAGTAGTTGTCCCTCATTTTATTCTTTGAGGTTCTGGTAGAACAGAAGTTTTGTGCAGCACAAAAGCCAAATAAGAATTTGTATTCCTTATTTTCTTGTAGTGCTTAGGGTAGAGAGGAAACAAAAATTTAGCATCTCAGTATGAATGCTGATCCCCTAACAGCTTGGGGTAAAGGCAACAATTACAGTAGCTCTAACAAGTAAGCAAGTGCTATTAAAACCATAGAAAAAATCAAGGATCAGTTGGGTAGGGAAACCTCAACACTCTGCTCTGAGGGAAAACAACTGCAGTTACAGGTCAGACTAGTAATCGGTAGGCACAGAAGTTGAATGCAGTCATAGAAAACACTACTTTTATCCATGAAGGTTATTCTAGGGCACAGAACACTGGGAGAGGAGGCAGAAGTCTGTCTGTCCACACCACATTTAAGAAAACAATGTGTAGAGAGTTTCTCTTATCTTTCTCACACTACCAATTTATTTGGGAATAATCCAGAAATGGTGGTATCATGTTTATTCTTCTCAC